AAGTACTGAGATATTTATCAAAGGGAGAAAAGAGTCATAAGAAAAACGTATAAGATGTCTGGAATCACACAATTATATAGATGATCATTTTTTTTATTTTTTATTTTTTATTTATATATATATATTTTTATTGCATTTTAGGTTCCGGGGTACATGTGCAGAACATGCAGAATTGTTGCATAGGTACATACATGGCAATGTGGTTTGCTGCCTCCATCCCCCTGTCACCTATATCTGGCATTTCTCCCCATGTTATACCTCCTCAACTCCCTACCCCTGACTGTCCCTCCCCTAGTCTCCCCCAACAGACCTCATTGTATGATGCTCCCCTCCCTGTGCCCATGTGTTCTCATTGTTCAACGCCCACCTATGAGTGAGAACGTGTGGTGTTTGATTTTCTGTTATGGTGTCAGTTTGCTAAGAATGATGGTTTCCAGGTTCGTCCATGTCCCTACCTTATTATTTTCTAATGTAGAATCTTCATTTTAAAAACTGCAATAAATTTAATTGGAAAGAAAATAAGGAAAATAAGTTACATGGCCAAGTGACCATTGAAACACAGTGTGGAATGTTGGAAAGAAGACACTTTTATCATCAACAGATCCAAACAAATCCCAGCTCCAGCCTTCAGTGGTTGTAAGAACTTGAGTGACAGTTTGTTGAGAATGATGGTTTCAGGAGACTTTAGCAGAAAATCAAACACCGTATATTCTCACTCATAGGTGGGTGTTGAACAATGAGAACACATGGACACAGGGAGGGGAGCACTACACACTGGGGTCCATTGGGGGGAAATGGGGGAGGGGTGGGGGGTGGGGAGGTGGGAAGAGATAGCATGGGGAGAAATGACAGATACAGTTGAGGGGACGGAAGGCAGCAAACCACACTGCCAAGTGTGTACCTATGCAACAATCTTGCATGTTCATCACATGTACCCCAAAACCTAAAATGCAATTAAAAAAAAAAGAACAAAAAAAAAAAAAAAAAAAAAAAAGAACTTGAGTGAGATACTTAACCTCACCAAACCTCAGTTTACTCACCTCCCAAATGGGGTAAGACAATATTCCTCATAGCTCAACAAATGGTAGCTATGATATGTATGACTACTGCAGGATTATGTAAACCAAAATTAAATTCTAAGCCCCCAAACAACTGAATTAATCTCTAAGCCAAGAACATTCTACAACCAATACCACAACAATGCAAAAGATCATTCATCATTCGAGGCTACTATGAGCACATTTACATGCACAGACTAGAAAACCTAGAGGAGAAGAACAAATTCCTGGAAATAAACAACCCTCCTAGATTAAACTAGGAAGAAATAGAAACTCTTAACAGATCCATAACAAGCAGCAGGATTGAAAAGGCAATTGTAATGGTTAATATTGAATGTCTACTTGATTGGATTGAAAGATGTAAATATTGTTTCCAGGTGTGTCTGTGAGGGTGTTTCCAAAGATATTAACATTTGAATCATTTGAATCAGTGGACTGGGAGAGGCAGACCCACCCTCAATCTGGGTGGGCACTATCTAATCAGCTGCCAGCACAGCTAGAATAAAGCAGGCAGAAAAGGTGGAAGGAGCTGACTTGCTGAGTCTTCCGGCCTTCATCTTTCTCCCATGCTAGATGGTTCCCGCCCTCAAATATCAGACTCCAAGATCTTCAGCTTTCTGACTCCTGGACTTACACCAGTGATTTGTCAGGGTCTTTCAGGCCTTTCGCCACAGACTAAAAGCTGCACTGTCAGCTTCCCTACTTTGGAGATTTGGGGACTTACTGGCTTCCTTGCTCCTCAGCTTGCAGACAGCTTATTGTGACACTTCACCTTGTTATTGTGTGAGTCAATAATCCTTAATAAATTCCCCTTCATATACACATCTATTCTATTTGTTCCATTAGTTCTATTCCTCTAGAGAACCCTAACTAATACAGTAATTTTAAAATTGCTAACAACAACAACAACAACAAAAGTCCAGGACCAGACAGATTCACTGTTGAATTTTACCAGACATTCAAAGAAAAATTGGGCCAAGCCTATGACATTATTCCACTATTAAGATAGGGAGAGAAGGAATCATCCCTACATCATTCTATGAAGCCAGTATCACCCCAATAGCAAAACCAGAAAAGGACACAACAGAAAGAAGAGGAAACTACAGACTAATATCCCTGGTGAATAAAGATGCAAAAATCCTCAGCAAAATACCAGCTAATCCAAACCAGCATATCAAAAAGATAATCCACCATGATCAAGTGGTTTCATACCAGGGATATAGGGATGATCTGACACATGCAAGCACGTCAATAAATGTGATACACCACATAAACAGAATTAAAAACAAAACCACATGATCATCTCAACAGATACAGAAAAATCATTTGACAAAATCCAGCATCCATTTACGATTAAACTCTCAGCAAAATTGGAATAGAAGGGACATACCTTAAGATAACAAAAGCCATCTATGACAAACCTGCAGCCAACATTATACTGAATGGGGAAAAGTTAAAAGCATTCCCCCTGAAAAATGGAACAAGACAAGGATCCCACTTTCCCCACTTCTATTCAACATAGTAAGGGAAGTCTTAGCCAGAGGAATTAGAAAAGGGAAGGAAATAAAGGACATCCAGATCAGTAAAGAGGAAGTCAAACTGTCGTTGTTCACTGATTATATGACTGTATACCTAGAAAACCCTAAAGACTCCTCCAGAAAACGTCTAGAACTGACAAATAAATTCAGTAAAGCTTCAGGATACAAAATTAATGTACACAAATCAGCAGCTCTGCTATACACAAACAGTGACCAAGCTGAGAATCAAATCAGAAACTTAACCTCTTTTACAATAGCTGCAAAAAAATAAAAATAAAATAATTAGAAATATACTTGACCAAAGAGGTAAAAGATCTCTACAAGGAAAGCTACAAAACATTGCTGAAAGAAATCATAAGTAACACAAACCCATGGAAACACATCCCATACATATTTCGATGAGTAGAATGAAACTGTATCCTCATTTCCTACCGTATACAAAAATCACTCAAGATGGATGAAAGACTTAAATCTAAAACCTGAAACCATAAAAATTCCGAAAGATATCATCAGAAAAACCTTTCTAGACATCAGCTTAGGCAAAGACTTCATGACCAAGAACCCAAAAGCAAATTGCAACAACAACAAAAAAAAAGATAGGCTGGGTGTGGTGGCTCATGCCTGTAATCCAAGCACTTTGGAGGCCAAGGCAGGCGAATCACCTGAGGTTGGGAGTTCAAGACCAGCCTGACCAACATGGTGAAACCCCGTCCTAAAAAAAAAAAAGTAAAAAAAAAAGTAAAAAAAAAAAAAAAGATAAATAAATGGAACTTAATTAAACAAAAACCTTCTGCATAGCAAAAGAAATAATCAGCAGAGTAAATAGGCAAACCACAGAATGGGAGAACATCTTTGCAAACTGCGCACCCGACAAATGACTAATATCCAGACCCTACGAGGAACTCAAACAAATCAGCAAGAAAGCAAAACAAACAACCCATCAAAAAGTGGGCTAAGGACAGAGAATTCTCAGAAGGTATACAAACATATGAAAAAATGTTCAACATCATTATCATTAATAACCAGGGAAATGCAAGCCAAAACCACAAAACAATACCACCTTACTCCTGAAAGAGTGGCCATAATCAAAAAAATAACAGACTTTGGCCTGGATAGGGTGAAAAGGAAACACTTTTGCATTGCTAATGGGAGTGTAAACTAGTACAAACAGTATGGAAAACAGTGTGGAAGTTCCTTAAAGAACTAAAAGTAGATCCGCTACCTGATCCAGCAATCCCACTACTGGCTATCTACTCAGAGGAAAAGAAGTCATTATACAAAAAAGCCACTTGCACACGCATGTTTATAGCAGCATAATTTGCAGTTGCAAAAATATGAACCAGCCCAAACACCCATCAATCAAGTGGATAAAGAAAATGTGATATATATATAGATATATAGATATATATATATAGATATAGATATAGATATAGATATATAGATATCTCAATCATAGAATACTACTCACCTGTAAAAAAAGGTATGAAATAATGGCATTTGCAGCAACCTGGATGGAATTGGAGACCATTATTCTAGGTGAAGAAACTTGGGAATGAAAAACCTAACATCAAATGTTCTCACTCATAAGTGGAAGCAAAGCTAGGAGGATGCAAAGGCATAAGAATGATACAATGGACTTCAGGGCCTCAGGAGAAAGAATGGGAGGAGAGCGAAGGATAAAAGACTACACATTGGGTACCGTGTACACTGCTCAGTTGATGGATACACCAAAATCTCAGAAATCACCACCAAAGAATGTACCCATGTAACAAAACACCACCTGTCCCCACAAAACCTATTTAAAACATTTTTAAATAAAAATTAAAAAATAAAAGTAAACTTGAAACACTAGTTCAGGCCATGCTGGGAATGGGTGGTTGGGCATGCTTCCTTATATCTTTCTCCGTTCAGAATTCAGGCACAGCTGACAGGCATTAACATTAAAACAGAACTTATGACCAGCAAAACAGACTCTGTAGCAAATAAGATACCAACATGACAGACAGTGGGCTCTGAAAGAAATCTGATTATTTTACCCCAAAATGTATTTCTTTGATATATTTTGAAATGGCCTGCAAAGCTGTCACTTATGGGGAAAATCTACATTCTGTAGAGAATGCCCTTCCCTTTCCAGATCTTTTTCTTGGTCTAGGAGAGATTGAGCATCTGGTACCTCTTTAAGTCCAATAGAAACATTTATGATCTATTCTCTCTGGAGCCTGCTACCTGGAGGCTTCATCTGCATTTGGCCATTACGGCCAAAACCGCAATTACTTTTGGACCAACCTAATAGACGTTATCGCCAGATTCATAAAAACTCCAGGCGCTGAACAATCCTTAGTGTCAGGCCAATATATCTCAGCACCAGTATTAGATAACTGTTTGCTTGATTTGATAAACTTACCTGTAACAAAAAATCAAAGAGTGCCATCTTGGACCACTCTTGATGGTGTATTTCAGTACAACCCGATTCAGGTTTGGGTACTCGGCCATTCTGCCAGCACTTCTGCTTCAGCAACTGCTGATAAGTTCCCCAGGTGAGCTTAACAGAAGAATGGGTGTCATTACTTGCTGGAGATAAAGATGCATCCCAGAGAATGACAGGGAATGGGCGGCCATCTGTGGAATCAGAAAAACAAACACACTTTGAGCACACTATTGATGCAGTGTGTGCCTTTGAACAGGTCATTCACTCTTTCCACTCTCAGCTATCAAATGTGAGAGTATGATTTGTCAATATTTTATGGTCCCTTTGTCTTCTGTTGTTTTAATACTTTCATACCTCAGTGCTTCCTGTTCTAAGTCTTATAAAGCAGAAAGTTATTATTAGACGATGAAAAAATATTTTTAACAAGATACTTGATAGATGTGGTAGGAATAGGATACTAAGCACCAATAACAACATCCTATGGTTAGTGTGGTTTTATTCCACATCTAAAAGAAGCCACCACAAAACGGGAAAGAATCCAGACATTTATAATTGTCTATTCAACGTCTGAGTGGAGCTGCTATTTATTTGTAATAACAACTGTCTGATTTTCTGAGGCCACATTATGATGTCAGGAAGAAAAAGAATTTTTAGAAGTCGCAAATTTAAAAGTGAAATTGTATGGTTCACGCCAATCACTGTAATTTCCAAAGAAGAAAAAAGAAGAGGCAAGAGGTTTTTTCTTTTCTGATAGAAACTGTGCAAGCACAACAGTGCTCTTGGTAAGGGATTGTTTATTCACACATAACCTCAACAAAGTGCATTTAAGCAAATGTCAGTTCTTCAACTGCATGTGCATAGGTGATTTTTTTTTTAATCTGTCACTCAATTTGTTTTGTTTCACTCTTGGAGGTTTAGAAATGCAATTTCTTTCATTGCTAAACTGTATAAAGAATATGGGCCCCAGTGAAATAATCATAAATAGGGAAGACCATGATTCGGACACATTAAACAACACTTCAACCTTAAAACCAGTAACATCACTTCCAAGCTTCCATTTCTGCCCAACAAAGTCACTAAGAGATGGTATTGAGCAGCTTTGCTTGTAACTCAAAAATCAGAATGATGCACTTGATAAAAACAGCTAAATTACAAAGGTCCAATAAAGCTCACTTAACTCATCCTTAACTGGCCTGAACAACAGAAATTACAACTGGAATGTTCAGACATGTTACAGGAATTCTTAAAACCTCTCTTAAATAGCCTCAGATGTTCTCAATGTACAATGTTACTGTCTACTAGAAACTTTATTTTGCCACCTCACTGTCTTGCCATCTTGTAGAATTCTTATCTCCAGTCTTTTAACACAGGAAACAGTCCTCTTCTCTAACCACTCATGAGTTTGGTGTTACACTAACCTTCGTGGTTTTAATAACATTCACTTAAATCATTCTAATCGCTTGCATTCCTGTTCTGTTGAAAGAAAAATCTTTCCCACTTTAGCCTTGCAATGTAGGCCAGGGAATGTGGAAAGTCTTTTGGATTATGGAAAATATGCCACAATCATTGCTGCAAAACTAAGAGAAGAATAGAGAAAGAAATGCGAGCCATACAAAAGAACTCCATTTGTAGCCTTCTCTCTCTCCTTCCAATTTCTTTTTACCTTAGTAAATTATTTGGGGTTCCTGCGACCTAATTATCTTCTTAGATATAAGTAATTTTAAATGTGTATATTCCAAATACTATGCCAATTTACTTTAAAAGAATGAATCCCAGGTAAAAGTAGTCCATCCTACAGTGGAAGACAGCACTGGGCCAGTATAACCAAATACAAATAGAAAACACACACACGGTCTCCAAAGATGTGAACTTCAGGTGTCTAAAAATAAACACCAAAGACACTATCAGTGTCTTTGAACCACAGTTATATACATACAAAAAGCACTTTGCACACTCAGGGCTAGAAAGCATTCAAAGGGAGTTGAAACTTAACAGTGAACTTCAACACAAGTTAATACACAAGCCCAGATGGACAGCGGATTCCTCAGCCATTCATACAATGTCTTTGGAGAAATATGGAAATGATCTACATAAACAAATCGAAACCTGCTGGGCTGTTTTTCTTCTCTTAGAAACATTGTTTCTTACTGTAAAACTAATCAAAGGTAAACCCATTCATTTTATGAAATATAGAAAAACATAAAAATGTATAGCTAAGAAAATAAAAATCACCTATAACCTCATCTCCCTGTAGTTGGTTCTGTTATTTGCATATTTACCTCCAGTATTTTTCTATCCCTTTCTTTCTCACCTGAATAGGTAAATTACTTTTAGAATTTGTCATTTAAAGAGAATAACTTATGGTTAGAGCTCTGACTCTGGAATCCAACAGAATTCTGGTCACATTATGTCTTAGCTTTGTAACGTCAGAGAAGTTATGTAACCTTTTAAAACCTTGTTTTTCTCATCTGTAAAATGGGACCAATAATGTACCTTGTTAGGAAGAAATGAGATTGTGCAACTAAAATTCCCAGCATGATACCTAACATAAATGCATGTACCAGAAAGGTTTTGCTCTGATGACTACTACATATATATTACATAATCACATCATTCATCAGGCTTCAACTGACCTTTACTATTTCTTGAGCATTTACCGTGCACTAAGCACTGTTCTAAAAACTGAAGCTACATACATAATAAATACATAATTAGATAAATGTGAAGTTTTTTGCTTTCCTGGAGCTTACACTTCTACCAGGAGAAAGAGGCAAAAATTATGCAAAGAAAAAAAAGCTATTTGGGATCATCTTACATGTCGAATTTGTTGTAATTATTTCACTAAATATTATAAGTATTTCTTTTAATTATTTTTAAATAGTACCACTTTAACTGCAATGCAATAATCTAGCCCAGTGATCAGCAAATTTTATAAAAGGCAGATAGTCAATATTCTAGGCTTTGAGGGCCTAAAATACCACAACTTTTCAACTATGCAACAGTTCAACTCCGTTGTATCACAAAAGTAGTCATCGACAATATATAAATGAGTGGTCGTAACTGTTCCATTAACATTTTATTATGTATGCAAAAACTGAAATTTCTTATGAGTCTCTCAAGGGTCATAGCAATATTACTAATCTTTTGATTTTTTTCAATCACTTAAAATGATAGAGACCATTTTTAGTTCACAAAAATAAAAACAGGCAGTGAGCCATTTCTGGACCACAGGCGATACATTAACCCCTAATTTAGTTTATGAGTATACTGTATGTCAGTCACCATTTCTCTATTATAGATCATCAACTTTTTTGAATGATACATTTTCTATACTAATCATTAAAAACCCATTCCCAAACTGCCAAAGAAAGTGTTCAGCTGATAAGCGTAATTGGTTTTCAATTAATAGCATATGTTTTTCTCCCTATCTATCCATTTTCCCTCGCAAAATATTTTGAATGCCAACTATGGCATAAAGACATTCTTTCCTGCCCTGCTAGAAATCAGTGTGACTTAGGAAAGGGGATTTCCAGAGAACAAGAAGAAAGCATGGTGAGCAGTAAGACTTAAGACTGAGTCACAGAGGGCTGTGGTTCCTTTCCACATACAGGCCTTCTTGCTACAGATACGTGTGTGTGGCCCTTGCAGGTAATAACAGTAGTCAGTATAACTCCAGATCTCAGAGCAGTAAGTGCTACTGTGAGGAGATTTCCACTTTTTCTAAACATATGGCTTTTGAAAGAATTAAATGAACCTTGATGGATTTGAAGTGATGACAGAAAAATCGCCTATGAAAACAGGAAGCTGGTAAAAGCAACTTACCCTGAAGTGTTTCAGAGACGAGAAGCATTCATCTCTCCACATTCAGGTTTGTCAAAATGATGCAGTACTGGACTCTCTAGAGAAATCTCAACAGTGAAAAGATAAAATTCTGTCACAGTGGTGAGAAAGCGGGTTTTAAAAGATATGTGGGTGTTCATGTGAATTAAAGGTTATATAGCTGTCCTAAAAAATGGGACTCGCCAAGAAAGCTGCTTTTTTTTTCTGAAATCTGAATATTTCCCCTGAATTTTGATGCTCTCCCAAGTCATTTTTTATTCAAAAGCACAAAGAAGACATTCTACTGAGAAGATGAACATGAAAATTCACTCAGAATGAGTGCTTTACACGATCTTCTTTGTCTAGATTTATTAAATGCCCTTCACTTTAAGCACTGGTTGAGTGGATTTGTGGAACTACAGGTGAATGCTAAGCATGTTGGGTGGGGCTGTGAATGTCTGTGTGCATTTGTCACTGAGCAAAAATAAGAAAAAAAAGTCTTGAGCTCTGAAATCAAAAGTTCTTTCTCTTGCATGGGCCATGTTCCAAGACTCTTGGTGAAGAAGATAAAAAGGAAGTGACAGTCCAGCTCAGAGTCCTTCAATAAAAACAACTCTACAATACCCATTGAAGAAAACAAAGGCCAGTCAAACCTGAGTGGCATCTCTGTTATGGGAAACAAATTCTGCTGGGCTCCATTGCAACTGTCAACAACACGTTGAAGGAAAACTTTAATGCAATAAGAAATAAACCTCCATAAGGTTTTCATGATTTTTAAAAACAGTAGGTGGGGAGGTAGGAGTCTGTAGATTCCATACACATAGATTTTATATGGCCAAAGAAGGCCTGGACCTAGAGACTTGTCCTAAAGCAACTTAAAACCACAATAAGATATGACTTCACCCCTACTAGAAGGGTTATCATCAAAAAGACAAAAGATTACAAATGTTGGTGCGGGTGCAGAGAAAAGGGAAGCCTTAGCACTGCTAGTCGGAACGTGCATTAATACAGCCATGATGGAAAACAGTATGGAAATTTCTCAGGAAACTAAAAATAGAATTATCACACTATCCAGTAATCCTATTTCTGGGTATCTATCCAAAGGAGTTGAATCTGTATGCCGAAGAGATGTCTGCCTCCTATGTTCACTGCAGCACTATCTTTTTTTTTTTTTTTTTTTTTTTTTGAGACAGAGTCTCACTCTGTTGCCCAGGCTAGAGTGCAGTGGTGTGATCTTGGCTCACTGCAACCTCCACCTCCCAGGGTCAAGTGATTCTCCTGCCTTGGCCTCCCAAATAGCTTGGACTACAGGTGCACACCACCAAACCCAGCTAATTTTTGTATGTTTAGTAGAGATGGGGATTCACCATGT